CAAGTGAGCGGGAATCGTAGGAGGCATCGGCCTCAGAGGAGGACGGAACCCGCAGCACCTGGTCAAAGGCGCCAAGCCACCTAAGGCCACTTACAGAATGGGGTGCTGTCTGCCAGAGGCACCAAAGGGCACTTATTACTTTCCCTCTTTCTTGCTTTCTTAGATATGGTGGCATCAAAAGAAGCCAGCCCCTCACTCATGACTCATTACTCAGAAGTTTATTTCTGGTACAAATGGACTTTATTGCTGTTCTTTATTTCCTCCTCCTACCCCTTTCTTCTTCTTTTGAGTGACAAGTACCCTATCTTTTCAGCATGATTTATGATGAAATATAACCATACGATGACAGGTTGCATTGTCTTCCATGTGTCCTTTTATATATGAACAAAGCGGATGGTTCTCATTTTGATATTATCCTTTATATTTAGTTTTACTTACAAAATTATGCAATATGAAGCACAGGACCTCCACTCTTATTTGTTCACAGTCTTTCTTTCACTAAGAAAGTTCATTCGTCCTCATTTAAAAAAGGGAGTATGAGTTAGTGGGAGGTGTAGAAAGAATTTATTCAGGGAACATGCATCGATTTCTGCAGGTGAGGAGTATGTGTGCGCTTTCCTAGGTTAGGGATCCAAGACAACTTGTCCTACATAAGAACTGACCCGCTACTTTATTTCTTTAGAGAACTTGCTTTAATGTGCTTTGTGCGGTTTCTGTGAGTTGCTAGATTTATGGAAAGATTGACCAGGGGGTGAGATTTCCTCTGGCGTCTGATATATGGCAAGAGCTCTACTCCAGGGACACTTATGCAGATGTTGCAGGTTTTCTTGCTGGAGACTTCGCTGGATGAAAATGAATTTGGGAAGAGTTTGGAACTCTGAAGTGCAATGCATTTGGGGAGTAAGGACCAATTGTAGTTTTTATCTGAGTTTGACAGGGGCAATTTTTTTTTCAAACTTCTCTGGGAAGGATGAAAATCAAATTAAATAAGGCAGGGTAGGTGAAAGGCATTTATAAATAGCAATGCTATATAGGAATGTAAGGCGAACACAACAGTTGTTCTATGTTTAAAAGGTGAATCTTAAGGTGGAGAATCTGCTTTCTTTCTTTTCTTAAAAATATTTTTTAGAGTATCCATTCCTTTTTTAATGAGGTAATATTACTATATAATATTATATTGGTTTCAAGTGTACAACCTAATAATTCAATTTTTATTTACACTACATAGTATCACCACAATGTCTGGTTACCACCTGTCACCATACAATTGACTCCCTTCACCTATTTCACCCCCTACAAACCCCTTCCCCTCTGATAACCATGAGTCTATTTTCTGTATCTATGAGTTTTCTTTGTATAAATACCCAGAAGTGGGACTGCTAGGTGATAGGTAGTTCTAGTTTTAATTTTCTGAAAAGCCTCCATACTGTTTTCCATAATGGTTGTACCAATTTACATTCCACCAACAGTCCACAAGAGTTCCCTTTTCTACACATCCTCTCCAACACTTGTTTCTTGTCTTTTTGATATTAGCCATTCTGACTGGTGTGAAGTGGTGTCTCATTGCAGTTTTGATTTGCATTTCCTTGATGACTAGTGATGTTGAACATCTTTTCATGTATCTTTTGGCATCTTTATGTCTTGTTTGTAAACATGTCTATTTAAATCCTCTGCCCGCTTTTAAATTGGATTTTTTTTTAAACTGTTGACTTGTCTTGAGTTTTTTATATATTGTGGACATTAACCCTTTCTTGGATATATGATATACAAACATTTTCTCCCATTCAGTAGGTTGCCTTTTCAACCCTTTGCTGTGCTGAGGCATTTTAGTTTGATGTAATCCCACTTGTTTGTTTGTTTTTGTTGCCTTTGCCTTTGGAGTCATTTTTAAAAACTCAATGCTAACACCAATGTCAAGTAGCCTATCACATATATTTTCTTCTAGGAGTTTTATGGTTTCAGGTACTACATTTAAGTCTTTAATCCATGTTGAGTTAATTTTTGTGTATGGTCTAATTTCATATTTTGCATGAGCCTGTCCAGTTTTCCCAAGAACGTTTATTGAAGGGACTGTCCTTTCCCCATTTTTGATCCTTTGCTGTAAATTAATTGACCATGAGACTCTTCTTTACAGATGCTTGGTTAGTCTGAAGATAGTCCTCAGGTATTCTCACTGACTTCTCAAACAAGCTAAGTATATTCCTGAATTTTCTTTTTCCAATAGGACACTGTGCTTCGGAATTTATTAAAACACAATATACCCAGCAGGGCTGGATTTGTGGGCATAAGTCTGTGGAAGTTTCTCTCCCTAAAATCAGAGCATAAACTCTTTGTTTTTGGTAGACTACTCTTTCCTAAAGTACTTGGATTCTGTTTATTAGACCTAAAGCTTAAAACAATTTTTTATGAGAATAAGTTATTCTTCCTTTTAAAAATATTAATTCCAGTGTAGCACACAGTACTTTGTATATTGAGGGCTTTTAAACCCTGCTTCTGAACAGAAATACAAATAAAACCTTTGAAAGTAATGCAGATCATCTACTGTGTATATCTAGGTCTCTATTTGTTTCTAGTTTAAAGATCAGTACAAAAATCATGATCAAAGGCAGGGTAATTCATACTGAAAATTGTAAGACCACTTCATCTGGATATAGTCTGTAAAGAGTCTTTGATTCAAATGATTCACACAAAGTAAAAATGTCTCATTGATTCAGACAATTCAGACAAAAATTCTTTCTGGCGATAAACTTCCAGTGTAAACAGGAAGACTAACGGGTCTCATAAATTTTAGAAATAAATGATACTCATTGCTTTGTGCTCATTTTGACTTTGAGACAAGAGCTAAAATGATTAGTAAAAGTTCTGATTTTAAATCCAATGTAAAGGTTATTTACCAATACCATAAGGAACATATGTATTTGTGTGTGCAGAAGTAGTTTATTAAAAGAATGTAAAGGGCATATACTATTTTGTATTCATAACAGACACTCTAAAACTGTGTGGCTTTAAAGAACTTGACAACTACATTATCATTACTAAGAAGAGGACTAAGAACTCCGACTTACGTTGTGATCCATACATCCCAAGACTATTAAACAATTTCTCCAAAGTTGGAATAATGTAATTTTCAAAGGAACCATCCATTGCATTTCAGAAAAAAGATAGTTGAATTTTTTAGCACAATTATGACAAAAAGTGTAATTTGTGTCTAATTTTCGGTAGAAACAAATGTATATACAATTAAGTAAAGAAATGGGGAAATCAACAGTAGGTACATTACATGATCAAAATAATAATTTTAAAAGACAGGCCTGAATTTTCTCTAAGAGGAGAAACTATGCAGGGTGAGAAAGAATGTATGTATTTTTGAAGGGAAGCATGTGAGTAATAAAACAGTACACACTCTTCATATCTTTAACATCTAATTAAACTCTGAGAATAAGGCATGTCTCTGAATTAACTTGAGTGGATTTTCCCCAAAATATAAAAGGAATCTTCAAACAGCGTTTATGTTTGGTCTTCATAAACAAGTAGGAAGTTTTAGAGTTAAAAGCAAATTGGGTTTGTAATACAGGAAAGGGTTTTTGTTTTTTGATTTTAAATAAACACAGTCCATAAACTCATCTGCCTTCACGTTGGAAAGACCAGTCCTTAAAACAAAGCAAAACAAAACAAAACAATCCACAAGGCTTTGGCTTCCCTATAGTTGAGGAGAAGCCAGGGCCCCTGAACTTTTCTTTCGGAGGGAGAGGGACGGTGAGAATTTGATCCAGTGCGTTGCCGTAGGGGGGAGCTGAGCCAGGAACCTCTCTTTTAGGGACACTCTTACTTGTTTGCCCCTTCGTCCCAACCCTTACCCCAATGTCGGAACAAGTCCGAGGCTTTTACAAAGCTAAAGCAAGTTCCGTGGGGCCGCGCGCCGAGAGCGGCTGCTGGTTTGACATGAGGCACGCGTTGCAGGGAAGCAGCTCCACAGCAAACTCGGTCAAGAGCTATGCTGGCGCTGTGGCGCGTCTGTCCTTAGGCTTTGAAAAGCCTCCCTCCCCACTGCCCTTCGCTCTCCGAGCAGCACTTGCAGCCAAGTGCAAACAGGTCGCAGATCTGGCGCAAAGAGCCGGGAGAATGAGGGACGTGGGATCCCTCCTTGGTGTTCCCCCGCCGGGTCCTAGGTGGTGGAGCCTGCAAGGGAACTGCCCTCCACCCCTTCCAGTGAGCTGCAGGTGGCGAGCGGAGCTGTCCAGCACTAGTGCGGCGCAGGCGGGAGCCAGGAGCTCCGCGCGCCCAGCCCGGCAGCCGCTCAGCAGCCGGGCTCTTGTCTGAGCAGACGCTGCCCTCCTTCGAGCCCACAAGGCCCGGCCCCGGCGGAGAACTCTTGTCCCCACGGGCTGCTCCGGCCAGACGGGTGCCCACACTCTGCCCCTTCCCTTCCCTTGTCAGTCTCCTCTGGAGTGGGCGGGCGGGCGCGCTCGGCCTTTCCCCTCGGCCTCAGAACTTCCTTAATGAGCTCGGAGGAAGGCAGGGACAGGACAGCGACGGACCCCAGGACCCCACCCCGCGCTCCCAGGCTCCCCCGAGGCGGCCCTACCGGGACGTCTCTGCGCGCGGCCCGCGCCTCTCCCCTCCCAGAGCCAGCCGGGCCCGCCCGCTCCCCGGCTGCCTCTGCTGCGGGCGGCGGCAGGGCGTTTGGGGTCGGGGCTCTTTGGTCCGATGCAAGCTGCGGTGCGCTTCTCCACGGAGGGAACGTGAGAGCGTGGAGGGCGCCCAGAGGACGGCCACGAAGTGTCCTCGTTGCTCCTGAAACGCGGCGACAGGCGAGGCAGAGACTCCCAATGAGTGTGATGGCGACACGTGACGCCGGGGGAGGGAGCGCTTGGGCGGGGGGCGGGTAAGGGAGAAGGAGGGAGGCGGGAGGGGAGGGGCGGGCGCAGCGCGGGGAGGGGGCGAGGCGGGCGCGCAGGCGGCCCCAGCCTCCGCCGCCCCGCGCACTGGCCGCAGCCGCCCGCCGCGCCGCCGCCGGAGCACACTCGGAGCTCCGCGAGTCGGAGTGCGGCGCAGGGCGATGCTCCGGGGCGCGCGCTGAGGCGGCGCCACGCGAGCTGCAGCGGAGGCGGCGGCCCCCAGCCCAGCCCGGCGCCGCGCGGAGCCCGGGCCCCACGGTGCGGCGGCGCCCCGAGTTCCCGCCATGAGCGGCCGGCCCTGGGGGCTCCGCGGCTCCGGGGACCCCCCACCGGCCGAGCGTGGCCGCAGCGCCCCGCGGCCCGCACCAGCCTAACCCCACCGCTGCCCCCGCGGCCCCGCCGCCGCCGCCGCGCCGCCCGCAGCATGTCTCGGAGGAAGATCTCGTCCGAGTCCTTCAGCTCGCTCGGCTCCGACTGCCTGGAGACCAGCCCTGAGGAGGGCGAGTGCCCCCTGTCCCGGCTCTGTTGGGACGGCGGCCGGAGCCCCCCTGCGCCGCCCGCGCCCGCCGCCGCCGCCGCCGCCACGGCCGGGGCCCGCAGGGCGCAGCGCCGGAGGCGGGTCAACCTGGACTCGCTGGGCGAGAGCGTCAGCCGCCTGACGGCGCCCTCGGTGAGCGGGGTCGGAAGGAGGGCCCGCGCTTCGGGGAGAGGACGGGGCTCGGGAAAGTTGGCGCGGGAGAGCCGGGCGTGTGCGCCGAGCCCGACCGCTGGGGGGCGGCCCGGCATCGCCCCGCGGCCCCGCGTTGCGGCGGCTCCGGGCTCTGCCCCGGGGGCTTTAGAGCGGGGAGAGGAGCAGGACTCCACGCTTCCCGGGTCCCTTCATCCGGAGGCCCGTCGGCCCGCTTCCAGCCTTGCACTCTAGGTCGTCGCGGTCGCCCTGACGGCCCCTGGGTGCCCTCGCACCCACCTGTTTTCTTCCCCCAAACTTTCCCAGGCGCTGCGTTCTGCAGTTCCCATTTCCGTGTCTGTCATCCCTGTTCCCCAGCATCCCAGAGGAACCCCTTCCCCTTCCAGGAAACTCTTCCTCTCTTTTTTCCCACACTCTCTTGGGCTTAGGTGACCTTCCTGGACATCTTTGAATTCCACAGGCTATCTGCATTGTGTGTTGCATCCCTTTTCTCAAGAATCTTCAGGAACTGGCTGTCAGATACTTTTTTGAGTTGACTTATGATGAAGAAACCTCTAATATCTTGTTTTCTCTCCACCCTATAGCCTTTTTCCTTATTCAGTAGGAATTTCTTGGCTCAGCCTTCTCTGGGTAAACCTAGTTGTCTGTAAATCTCTGTGGTATTTCTTGCACACGTACCTTATCCTTCATTCTCTTTTCCCTTGATTTCTCAGATCTTTCTCCCTAGTTTTTTTCTTGACTTCCTTATATTAGGCCCTTCATAAATATCTGTTGAGTGAATAAATGCCTTCCTAGCCACCTCTGAACTTGTGCTCTTTCAGGATGTGAGTATCAGAAGATCCAGGTGTACTCCAGATTCCCCCTGGCTCTAGGCATGTTTTTAGAGCACTTCAGCTTTTTTCCTGCTCAGGTATTTCAGCGACTCTTGATATAGAGATGCCAAACCTCTGTTCCAGGCCTTCTCTGACAGAAGGAGCTCTGTCTTGAAGGAATCCACTCCACTGCAGACAGAATCCTAAAGCGATTCAATGTCAAACCTTGATCCACCTTTTATTCCCAGCCTGATTTGGGGTATACGGACTTCAACTCCCTGGCAGCACTTTTACTGACCCATATCTGGGAATTTTACTTCTTAAAAGTTTCCAAAACGATGTGAACATTGATCTTATTCTACTGCTCTCGAGTCTCCTTTTTGAAAGTACCCTTGTAGCTGATAGTGAGAGGGACCTGAGCAAGAGTAGGTGGGATGAGGGACTGGGTACTAGTACCAGGCAGCCCTATAAATATCTTTGTAGCCCTTGAATTAATGGAGAATGACCTATTCTTTTGGCATCGAAACTACTCTTCCGTCATCTTCCTTTTCTTGTGTATTTCCCCTTCATTTTACCTTTCTGCCACTTCTTCCACTGATAACTAGAAACAAAACTCAGAATGGGTTAGCTATTGCTTGCTACTCTTCACTGCAAATATTTCCCAGGAAGCACATTAGGAATTACTTAATGTTGTAAATTGTTGAACTAAGCCTTTACAAAAGGAGTCCATAATCCTGTCCATCTTCTGTGTCAGTACCTAAAGCAACATTTGTGCAGTGTATTAATTCTTCTGTAAAACATGCGTATCTGATGACAATAATTTTACTAAAGATGATGATGAGTTTTCTGGTGGGATTGTTTTTATAACCCTGGAGTTTTCTTTTTGCCTAAGAATCAGAATTTAAAAATTTCTAAAAAGTAGTGGCTGTGCCTCTGGTAATACCAATTTAACCTAAGGCTATTCTCAACAACTTATCTGAGGGTTTAGATAAAATCAACTGGTCTCAAGTATTTACTGCCAGAATGAAAGGGCGGAAATAGCCTCTACCTTTTATCTTTATAAATTAGAGGGACTATGGCTTTTTTTTTCTAAATAAAAGCATGTACCCTGATAATGTTTTTCAGGATAAGAAATTTGAAAATAATTTCAATGGTCAAATATATGCAAAAGCAATATGAACTGTCCGTGCTATAATTCCTTTGTATTTTGAAAATGGTCTTTCTGTTGGAATGCTGAGAGCATGCAGGTGAATATAGTGTAAACATTTTCAATATAGTTCAAACATTTTCAATTATAAGGCATACATAAACAAATTTTTAGTGGCTAACCATAACACCAATAGATTTGGTAATACAAAGAAAATAGATTATATTTCAAAGTAGTGACTTATATCTGTGGTCTCCAGCCCATTTTCTTTTATTTGTCCAGCTGGGACACTGCTTCAAAAGTTCTAGTAGATTCATTCTCCTACAGTGTCAGCATTCTGTGAATGTCTCTAAAAGCACTGTGGAGATGAATTATGTCCTGATGATTCTCTTTGATTAGAGATGAATGACTTTTAAAAAAAATTGATCTCTGAGAATAGCCACTAACAGAGCATTCTTGGATGGGAATTTCTAGTTCTTTTGAGTGTGGTGAGCCTCCTTGCATTCCGCACAATATACTTCAGGAGAAACTATACTTGCTACTGGAGCTTCTGTCTTCTTAGTGGTCTCATCATGGAATGTTGTCTCAATCACTGGAGATTTGTTTTTTATTCAGAAGAATTTGCAAGTAGGAAATGAAAATGAATTTAGTAAATAATAGGGTATTGTGAAGTGATTATGCTAGTTATTTGATCTGTGGAATATTCAAACTCAGATTTTTGATGTTTTAATAGTTATTTTTAGACGCATTAATGTTGGCTATAAGGATTATAATATTTTATACCATTTTGATAAAAAGTGAATTGAATGATGAAATTGAATACATTTTGGTATTCAAGAAACCTGGTCCTCATTCATTGTGACTCGGACAACGAAATACTTGTGTATCTCTGTGCACATTACTTTAACTCTCTAGGATCCTTCTCATTTGTAAGGTATTATCCCTTAGAGTCCCTCCGTTTTCTGTATTTCTATGAAATGAATATTATATTGTCAGGCTAATAAATAAACTGTCATAATGGCATGTGAAAGAAAAACAAGCACATATTATGAGCTGTAAAACTTTGAGGAAAATAGGTTACTTTTTTAAGTAGGGGCATCAAAGTATTATCTAGTTCTACCCCCTTGTTAAAAAAATTTGAGGATCAACTGTATGGTAAGTATTGTGCAAAGCACTGGCAATACAAATGCCAGATAAAACATTCCCAGTCTTTGACCTCATGGAACTCTTTAATTGTAGCTGTATTGAGGGAACAATAAAAGAACTCAAGTTGTTTTAGAAATATCTAGGGGAAGTTTTATTTGACATCCACTTTGGATAGTTTTGTTCACTGTGAATCTCTGAGGTGCAGCCTTAACAATAAAATAATCCTAAAGACCTGGCTGAAGATCCGTAAATTACTAATTAATGTTATTTGTTTTGAAATAACTTACGAACACATATGGAGAAAAAGCTGGGGATTTTACATCAGGGGTGACTTTAGCAACTAATTCATTTCTGTTTTATTTTTATAAATGAGGGTTGTTTAGAACCCTATCACCTTGACGTTGTTTTCGGATTTGGACAGACTATCAGCCTGTCAGTGAAAGTATTCTAGGAAACCAATTCGGGCAAAGCTTCTTTAGTTTTCTTGTCAGAGAACTACTTACTGGCTGGTGCAGTGTTGAAGGTGGCTCTGAAGACCTCAGAAGCTGTATGACAAGCAGAATGGCAGGAAGGAAGTAACAAACTAGAAGGATGGCAATACAGGGAGGAGAGATGACACAGGGAATAGCCCAAGAGACTGACAGAGCCTTGAGGAAAGAAAAAAGAAATGAAACCTCGATTCAAGTAACAAAAAAGCAAAAATTGTTTCAATTATTTTGGGAAAGGTAATTTTATTGATAGATGCCTAGGAAAAGGTGAGGGGACATAAGAAAAGGCATAAATTATCTTCTCCTGCTATAAAGTAATATGAACTCTCTGACATGTGTAAACCCTTAAAAAAAAGAATCTTAGAAAGTGCAAGTATGACTAACATGTAAATAATGAAAAATATATAAGATATATTTGTACAGTGAAATATTTGATAAATTCATGTATTTTAGTTGACGTCTTTAAACTTTGGGTCTCAGTTTGGCTAATAAAGACCTGAAAAACAGATTCATGCAAATTAGAAAATTAGACATAATGTATTTTAGTAGTTTAATGTACATTATAGAAATTAGATAATATAGTCTGAAATTAGAATTTAATGGCCATCTATTGATTTCTCAATCTCATTCTTAATCATTGAGAAACAAGATAGAGATGAAAGAGCAGGATTTGGAGTTTGACAGACCTGGGTTTGTCTGTCTCTGCTGAGCTTACTAAGTGTGAGATCCTGGGAAAGCCAACTCCTATCTTCTCAGAGCCTTAGTTTCCTATCTTGTGAAATATGAATAATCATTACCTTGTGAATTTGTTGTGAAAGAGGAGCAATGTTGTTTGTAAAACTCTTTAAACTCAATAAATGATAGTTTCAAGCTGAAATCCATTAATTTCAACCAAATTTAAATGCCTCCAAATATTCTAAAATTCTTTTGTCAATAATTTACTTCCTAGTAATCTTACTGAAAGAGTTAATAGATTACCTAATGTCATATGCCAAAAAAAAAAAAAGAAAGTGTGGTAAGCAGGAGTGTATTTTATTGGCATTCTAGCCAATCCATTAAAAAAATTGAAACTGGAGTTCCTTTCTGGTTCCCTGGCTGTAAGTGTGCAATAGTGTATGTAATCATTGCAGATTCAAAACATTTCTCTCAAACTGCTGAATGCTATATGGCAATATGAAAACTACTTTTACAAATTCTGTCAAAATACAAGGGCATATATATTTGGTAGAATGTAGGGATTTCAGAGCAAATTACTTTTAAATTAGAAAAAAAATTAAGTGAAAGAGAAGCTGCTTATTTCATTTGCCTGAGAATTTCCAGTGTTCCCAATTTACTGCATTTAAGCTAATTTATATGTGTGTTCAAAGAGATGTGAGAGGCAACAGTTAA